GCTGCGTTTTCAATAGCATGGCCTCAATGCTGGTGATCCCTGCTTGATTAAAGAGATAATAAAGCGCAAATAAACCATCCAGAAAATAAAGCCAAAATAGTGTTTAATTGCGCGAATGAAAATCGCAAACTTTAAAGTACAGTGGGCGCTCCACATTCACAGGATCCCCATGAATATGGGAAAACCACAGATTAAAAAAACAAGAACCACTATTTATTTAACCTGAGAGAACACCTCTCTAGGAATTTCTAGGTCCACCAGCACAACTCTATGGTCAACATCTGCCAGATGTTGACCATAGAATCACATTGGATGACCTACAAATGCCTAAAGAAGTGTTTTCTCTAGGAACCTCTAAGTCCTCCAGTGCAATGCTATGGTTATTTTCCTGCAGAGTTGCATTGGAGGACCTACAGCTTCCTAGAGAGAACATATTAATGAAATCCGCAAATAATCAAATCCACAACATCAAAGCCACAAATGTGGAGGGCTGATTGTGGCTCAGGTCCCTGTTCAACCATGGAAATTTATTGAGTGACCTTGAGCAAGTCACACTCTCTCAGCCTTTGCTGCAAAGGAAAAAACCCTCTGCACAAATCTTGCCAAGAAAACCCCGTGATAGGTTTGCCTTAGGGTTGCCATAAGTCAGATACGTTTTGGGACCATACAACAACAGTAGAGGGCATTTCAGCAAGTACTGTGTGTTACGAGAGCCAGGATTGTATAGTGGTTTGAGTATTGGACTATGACTCTGGAGACCAGGATTCGATTCCCAGCTCAGCCACGAAACCAGCTGGGTTACCTTGGGTAAGTCACACTGTCTCAACCTCAGGGGAAGGCAAGGGCAAACCTCTTCTGAAGAAATCTTGCCAAGAAAACTCTGTGATAGGGTCACCATAAGTCAGAAACGACTTGAAAGCACACAACAACATTATTGTGTGTTACCTGGTTGCATGACAAACAACACCTGCTGAAATTCCACAATTATTAAAGGAACTGGAGTCCTTTCCAGTTTCCATCTTGAAACCCTATGATTACCTAAAAAGCACTGTTGCATTGGTGGAATCATTACACTGGTGTTTGTTAATAATATTGCATTAGAACTTCCCACTTCCAACTCAATTGCATTACAACTGCTCTGCCCTTGCAAATCTAATAATGTCTGTATTGATTTAGAGGTTGAGAGCCCCAACCCCTGTCTAAAACCAACCTGTCTAATTTAAAACCATGTGAACAAGAGACATTATTTTAAAGGGCTAAAACGTGTTAAACAACTTGATCGGTTACAGGGAAACAGATTAACACAGGCTGAGAGAGATCAAAACAGTTTTGGAGAGTGGTGGAGTCTCCTTCTTTGGAGGTCTTTAAACAGAGGCTGGATGGCCATCTGTCGGGGATGCTTTGATTGGGAGTTCCTGCATGGCAGAATGGGGTTGGACTGGATGGCCCTTGGGGTCTCTTCCAACTCTAGGATTCTATGAGTTTAATCGATGGTCCTATTTCAATGTCTCAGCGACAGCAGGAGTTCTTTTGCAGTTATTCCAACTCCAGCTGTTGCAGCCAAGAGAGCTAAACTTTAAGCCTGGAAAACAGAACGGAGGGGAAGGAGAAAATGAAATCTCTGGATCCTTCCCACAGCCTTGGCTGAAACAATGCCTTTTCCCCAGCCCATGTCTGCCCCAGTTGCCTCAGCAACCACAAAACCCAAACTGGAGGAGATTAGTCACTTCATCCATCCCATGGGCAGGACATCCATTTTGTGGTTCCATGTCGATCTTCCATGGCTCTGTCTGCTCTTGGCTGCATTGTTGGACTTGGCTTTCCGACATCTTGGTGTCTCCGCCAACTGTGTCAGCTCCATGATCTCTCTCGGCACCTCGAGGGCTGGCCATAGTTTTGGATCATAGAATCATAGAATCATAGAGTTGGAAGAGACCACAAGGGCCATCCAGTCCAACCCTATTCTGCCATGCAGGAACTCCCAATCAAAGCATCCCCGACAGATGGCCATCCAGCCCCTGCTTAAAGACCTCCAGGGAAGGAGACTGCACTACTCTCCAATGATGACTCCCTGAATCCCTTGTCTTGAACAAGTCACCATTCCAGATTCTGGGAAAGACTGGGAATAGTGCCTTGAAGACCCATGCCTTATGAGGAGCGGCTTAGGGAGCTGGGTCTGTTCAGCCTGGAGAAGAGAAAGTTAAGAGGAGATATGAGAGCCCTGTTTATGTTTTTGATGGGGCGTCATATTCACGGGAGCACATAGCGCTACGCTCCTGTCTTTCTTTTCGTTGTGTGATAAAGTCCTTACAGTCAGAAAGTTTTTCCTAATGTTGAGCTGGAATCTCTTTTACTGGAGCTTGCATCCATTGTTCCAAGTCCTATTCTCTGGAGCAGCAGA